TATATATATATATTTTGCAAGTATTGTTAGAAATATTTTCTTATCTAGCTAAAAGCTAAACTTAAAAAGCAGCTACATTTTTGGGATTTTGACTTGGGGTATTATTTTGTTAAAATAAAAGATCAACAAGGCCTCTGTGCTCGGGGAAGCCATCAACTACATGCGACAACTTCAACAACGAATAGCAATGCTGGAAAAAGGGATTAACAATAACCTAAGTATGAAGTCATTGATCATCACGAAATCGTGTGAAACAAACTTATGTACTTATTATAGAGCCAATGAAGTGCTCCCTGAAGTTGAAGCAAGAGGTTTAGAGAAGGAAATACTGATTAGAATCTATTGTGAGAAACGAAAGGGCATCATGATTAAGCTATTGGCCCTACTAAAACAGGTTCATCTCTCAATAGCCTATAGCACCGTATTGCCATTTGGAAACTCTTTTCTCAACATCATCATAATTGCTCAGGTATACGTAATTAACCATATTGCAAAAATATATTCCGTTTTCTCAAGCCAATTCAAAACTAGTTGTATGATCTATAATTGTCGTTAGTTGATAACTAGTTTATATTGCAGATGAGTGAGAAATACAAGTTGAGTGTGAAGGATTTGGTTATGACCTTGAAGCAGGGCTTTTGAGATGCAACTGTGATTGAGTTGATTCTCCAACATTTGTTTATTGAGTTGAAGTTCGTATTGAGGAGAGGAGGTGTATATATATATATATAACTACTTTTTTATTCTTTTCTTTCTTGGAAGCACTACACAACAGTCGCAAGTAGTAACACACCATGCATGCATTTATGTCGGGAGATGGATCGAACGGAAGGAAAAGATGCAAGCAATTAAAAGCTACCTAGCTAGATAGATGTGTTGGAATATAATAAAGGATTAATGGTGTTTACTTTGTTTTTGTGTGTCATATCATATCAATAAAATGAAACTATATCATGTGTGTTTTGGTTTAAGTTTGTTGATTCAAATGCAAAGTTTAAACTATAAATTTCAATATTCGATTTAATAGATTTGTGTGACTAATGTTAATTGCAAAATAGTTGATTTTATACGCACGATTAGGATATAATTAAGTGCATTCTTATTGAATTTGCACATGTCACGATCAAAAAAACAAAAATGTTAAAAAAAATTGATTAGATTCACATCAAATTTCATCGGATGTGAATTAGTAAAAGAAATGATTAGTTATTTTTACATTAATTTTAATATAATTTTTGTTTAAACGTTAATAATGGATATAAAATCAAAGATGCACTATGTGGAAGAGAAAAAATGTAACGTAGTTAAAAAAAAAGTGATTTAGTAGCCCAGAACGGGCCGTTCCAAGCTATTAAATTGACCTGTAATTTGTGATTGAGAATGGGCCGTTCTGGAGGGAGAACATGCCGTTCTGGTTGGAGAACGAGCCGTTCTAGACGGAGAACGGGCCGTTCTGGAAGGGAGTACGGGGCGTTCTGAATGGAGAACGGGCCGTTCCGGATGAGTCCCATAACGAGCCGTTCTAATTTCAGAACGGGCCGTTCTGCATGTGGTTTTTACATATGACGAAGGAGTATAGAACGGGCCGTTCCGATTTCGGTACAGGCCGTTCTGGCCACTCCGGAATGCCTATAAATAGGGGTGTGGGCCGTGAGGAGAATCAGAGGTTTCTAGAGAGAAGTTTTAGAGAGAAGGTCTCTAGGTCTGTGAGCTCCTTTCTCTCCCAAATTTCTCTGTATGATTCTTTTTCTCCTTTAGACCACTAATGTCTTCTGTCTTTTCTTGAAATTCAGATTAGAAAGCTTGATTTGGGTAGATTGAAGTTCCGGGTTGAGTTACGAAGGAAAATTCTACTTTTGTTCAGTTTTTGGCTATCTGAGCCAATCTTCAGGTAATGGAAGCTAGACTATTTGTTGTTTAGGTTGTATGTGAGTTTTGAAACTCAATTGATGCATGAATGCTGAGAATCCATAGATGGATTGAAGAAAATCTTATTTTTGAGATTTTGAGAAAAAAGGAGGATTTTGATGCATAGGTGGGATGAATGTGAGATTTAAGTTTATTTTGAGTTGTATGGAGCCTATGCATTGTGTTTTGTGTTTGCATGTGGCTGGATGTGTTGGCTTGGATGAGAGTTTTGAAACTCTCTGACTGAGATCAGGCCGGGCGGGGGTTGATCGTGCCAGGCGTGGGAGAGCTTAGAGCTCTTGGGTTGGTGTTAGGCTACGCGCGAGCTGGCTGCGCTGTGCGCGATTATATTTATAAATAATTAAAGAAAGAGACAAAAAGATAAGAAAAAGAAAAGAAAACAAAAGAGAAAAACCTAAAAAAGCAAAGTGAAAACAAAACATTAATAGTAGCACTTGGCCTTGAATTTTTGTGTGAATTTTCTTGAGGTTTGCTTGCTGTCCAGTGGCTAATTCTTGAATAATATGATCAAATTTCATTATCATTCACAAAGATAAAACTACTTTTCCACAAGACACTTATGGTTCAACTTAAATATTCTTTAACTTATCTTTTCAAGAAACTATTCAAGTATTCTTTGAATTATGAAACCACTTTTAAACTTCAACAAACAAATATTCTTTACAACAAAACCTTTTCAAACTTCAAACAATAACACAAAGTTAAAACTGAGAAATCACTAATTAAAAAAATTAAGTACAAAGCTTTTTATAGAAAGAGTGAATATGTTTTTACAGTAATCATTCTCCATATTTTCAAGTTTTCAAGCTTTTTTATATAAGAGTTTCATAAAAATGGTCATTGCAAATCCTTGAATATCTCTCATAAGCTTATTTTGTCTATCTTCGTTTCCATTCTCTGTAGAGAAAAGTGTCTGTTGATGTATTAAATATGAACATTAAATATATTTCACTAAATTTTTTACTTATATTATATTATAATTATAAATAATTAAAATTTCTTTTGATCTTGATCTCTCTAAATTAACTAAAAGTTTGTGTACACCAATTTTTTTACCAATCTATAAGTTGACTGTTTAAGGTGGAAGATTTAGTCAAGAGAGTAAGGGATAATAATTGAAGATATAAACAAAACTTTTTAGACTGTGATCATGTGGTGTATCTATTAAATTAATACTCATAATTTGATGGGGCTTATTTTATGATATTTGTTTGAGGGGATATTATATAAGTGTTATTTTTATACATAACTCTACAATGATGAGATATTGTCCGCTTTAAGCCCAAGCCCTCACGGTTTTACTTTTAGTCATTACCCAAAAGGCCTTTTAATCATTGGAGTATGTTTGTATTTTATAAGTTGTTATTTCTTCTCTTATTTTATTGATGTAGGACTTGTTTATATCCTAACATAATTCTTGCTCGACATCAATTTTGCCTTGAATAGTAGTCATAATTATGAAATTTGAATTGCATATAATGTTCACCAGCACGTAATTTAAGGTCCATGCATTTCTTTATTAAAAGAAAGAGCATCTTTAATGAAAAAATATATATCTTTAAAATTGTAATCATTATATAAGAGTACAGTTTTCATAAGTATTTTATTAAGGTTTTTATTTTACTTTAAATAAGATTTATTATATTACATCATTCTTAAACAACTCGCTATATTCTTATAAATTTTCTTTGAGTGGTGGGATTTTATAAGTAACTCACACTTTTATACATTTTTTAGGCTAAAATAATTTTTTTAGTTTTTATAGTTTCACTTACTTTATTTTATAGTCTTTATAGTTTAAATTAGAATTTTTTGGTTTCTATACTTATCTTTTTCAATTCTTTTTAATTAGTCTATATAATTTAAGATAGATCTTTTTATTCCCTATATTTGTGCCTTTTTCAATATTTTTAGTCTCTATCGTTAATTTTTTTCATGTAATGTTGTTTGTTTTGTATTAATGTGCTACATATTTTCAATTTTGTGAGAGTAAAAAAAATGATGTCTCAACAACGAGTGTCACATGTAAAGGTACAAAAGAGATACGAAGCATCAAGAAATCAAATTTAGAATAATTCTAACAAAATAAATTTCACATTAGACACACAAAGTTAAATTAATACATTTGTCATGTCAACACAAAAGAGACAAAGTTACAAAAAATAGAGACTAAAAAATTAAAAAAATTGTAAGTATAAGGACTAAAAAAGTTTGTCTTAAACTATAAGATCTAAAAAGGATTGAAAATGATAGGTATAAGGGCTAAAAATGTTTATTTTAAACTATAAGGACTAAAAGATAAAATAAGTAAAATTATAAAGACTAAAAAAGTATTATAACTATTTTTTATTTAAATTTCACTTTTTTGACAACTTAAAAAAAATAATTTAATTATTATAATTATATATTAATTTAATTAAATATAATAAATAATATTTTTTGATCTGTTGGAGTGATTTGTGTTTTAATAGTAATCACAGCCAAACAAGCAGCTTTTTGGTCTGTCGTGAATTGATAGTCGTTTATTCCATTATTAGATGCTCCGCTATCTCATTGTTACATCTTATCTTGTTTCTATTTACGTCTTTATTCCAATTCAAATAAAATTTTGAATATTCTTGATGCACAGAAAGAAATCAGGACCGCATTATGCTCTCATTACTTCCTGATATGGAGGACTCATGGGAAAACTGGCTCGCTCATTTGGTAATTAGTTTTCATTTCATGATAATGATAATATTCCCACTATATAGACTTACTAATTTATAGCATAATGATTCCAGACCTACAGCTGCGGGGAGAGTGTTTACATTGTCAAGTGTAGAGGCTTCCACTTCATCAGACTTGGTGAAGCGGAAGGGGAAAGCAGCAGGTGAGAATGTTTTATTTTTGTTCGATTCTGGTGCCACACATTCTTTCACTTGTTTATATCCTAACATAATTCTTGCTCGACATCAATTTTGCCTTGAATAGTAGTCATAATTATGAAATTTGAATTGCATATAATGTTCACCAGCACGTAATTTAAGGTCCATGCATTTCTTTATTAAAAGAAAGAGCATCTTTAATGAAAAAATATATATCTTTAAAATTGTAATCATTATATAAGAGTACAGTTTTCATAAGTATTTTATTAAGGTTTTTATTTTACTTTAAATAAGATTTATTATATTACATCATTCTTAAACAACTCGCTATATTCTTATAAATTTTCTTTGAGTGGTGGGATTTTATAAGTAACTCACACTTTTATACATTTTTTAGGCTAAAATAATTTTTTTAGTTTTTATAGTTTCACTTACTTTATTTTATAGTCTTTATAGTTTAAATTAGAATTTTTTGGTTTCTATACTTATCTTTTTCAATTCTTTTTAATTAGTCTATATAATTTAAGATAGATCTTTTTATTCCCTATATTTGTGCCTTTTTCAATATTTTTAGTCTCTATCGTTAATTTTTTTCATGTAATGTTGTTTGTTTTGTATTAATGTGCTACATATTTTCAATTTTGTGAGAGTAAAAAAAATGATGTCTCAACAACGAGTGTCACATGTAAAGGTACAAAAGAGATACGAAGCATCAAGAAATCAAATTTAGAATAATTCTAACAAAATAAATTTCACATTAGACACACAAAGTTAAATTAATACATTTGTCATGTCAACACAAAAGAGACAAAGTTACAAAAAATAGAGACTAAAAAATTAAAAAAATTGTAAGTATAAGGACTAAAAAAGTTTGTCTTAAACTATAAGATCTAAAAAGGATTGAAAATGATAGGTATAAGGGCTAAAAATGTTTATTTTAAACTATAAGGACTAAAAGATAAAATAAGTAAAATTATAAAGACTAAAAAAGTATTATAACTATTTTTTATTTAAATTTCACTTTTTTGACAACTTAAAAAAAATAATTTAATTATTATAATTATATATTAATTTAATTAAATATAATAAATAATATTTTTTGATCTGTTGGAGTGATTTGTGTTTTAATAGTAATGATACTTATTAAAAAGTCATCATTTATTTTTAAGCAATTTTCTATGTCATGTTATCACACTAAGTAAGAGTTACTAATAAACATTATTGTTTATTAGTAAGATACACCACAAGTACTATGCATTAAAGATGCTATAAGTTTTTTTTAAATCCAATAAGTTTGATTACCATTAACATATTTTTATCTAATAAGATTAGTAAAATTGTATGACATTCTCATATGAAGCGATGGAACAAAATTATTTTTTATTATGTATGTTTTTTAATTGAAAATATAAATTATTAAAATAATGATAATATTTTTCTTTCATTTATTAAGATGTTACATTTTAGATAGAATGAGAAAGAGATAAATATACAAACATACAAATCAAATTATTTAATTTCCATTGATTCTTTCCTCTTCCAAAATATTTACATTTAATTAGGAATAATATCATATATATATATATATATATATATATATATATATATATATATATATTTTATGTGTATTTAGATATATTTTTTTTTAAATATATAAAATAGACACTATCTGTATGGTGCGAGATTCAGTATATTCAGTGATCATAAGAGTTTGAAGTACCTGTTTGATCAGAAGGAGTTGAATATGAGACAGAGGAGGTGGATGGAATTCCTAAAGGGCTTCGATTTCCAGTTGATGTATCATCCTGGAAAGGCGAATGTGGTAGCAGATGCATTGAGTAGGAAATCCATTCACATGTCAGCTATGATGATTAAGGAGTTGGAGTTGATTGAGCAGTTCAGAGATTTGAGACTAGAGGTGGAGGTTGTTCAGGATCACATTAGTTGTGGTATGATCACCATAACTAACGAGTTCTTGAAACAGGTGGGAACTAAACAATTACAGGACCCAGATTTGTTGAAGATTTTGGGATTGCTTGGTACTGAGAAGGCAACTGGTTTTGAGCTTGGTACTGATGGGATTTTGAGATTCAGAGGTCGGATTTGTTTTCCTTGTGATTCAGAATTGAGACGAGCTGTTCTAGAGGAGGGAAACATGAGTCATCTTAGTATACATCCTGGTATGAATAAGATGTATCAGGACATCAAGAAGAGTTTCTGGTGGCTTGGTATGAAGAGAGAGATAGAAGAGTTTGTGACAGCTTGTCTGACTTGTCAGAAGGCAAAGATTGAGCATCAGAGACCTGGAGGGATTTTACAGTTGATGGAGATTCCTGAGTGGAAGTGGGATAATGTCACTATGGACTTTGTGGTTGGGTTGCCTAGGACAGCTAGGAACAATGACTCTATCTGGGTGATTGTTGATAGGTTGACAAAGTGTGCGCATTTTCTTCCTGTCAACAAGAGGTGGTCCTTGGAGAGGCTTGCACAGTTGTATATCAGAGAGATAGTACGGTTGCATGGAGTGCCTTCTAGTATTATCTCTGATAGAGATCCAAGGTTTACTTCCAGGTTTTGGTAGACTTTGCATCAGGCGTTGGGGACGAGGTTGAGGTTAGGTTCCGCTTATCATCCACAGACAGATGGTCATTCGGAGAGGACAATTCAGTCACTGGAGGATCTTTAAAGAGCTTGTGTGTTGGATCATCTGGGTAGCTGGGAGTAGGTGTTGCCATTGGTAGAGTTTACCTACAATAACAGTTATCACTCAAGTATTTGCATGGCACCTTTTGAGGTTTTGTATGGCAGGAGGTGTAGGACTCCATTATGCTGGTATCAGGAGAGTGAGTCAGTAGTGGTTGGTCTAGAGTTAGTTCTTCAGACTACTGAGATGGTGAGACAGATTCAGGAGAGGTTGAGGGCTACCCAGAGTCGAAAAAAGTCCTATGCTGATAGGAGGAGGAGACCTCTAGAGTTTGAGGAGGGAGAGCATGTGTTTCTTAGGGTGACACCCACTACTGGTGTGGGAAGGGCAGTAAGGGCTAAGAAACTCACACCGAGATTCATTAGTCCTTACCAGATCCTTCATCGTGTAGGTCCGTAGCTTATCAGTTGGCGTTACCTCCGGTTCTGTCCAACCTGCATGATGTGTTTCATGTTTCACAGTTGAGGAAGTACATCAGAGACCCGAGTCACGTGGTAGAGATGGATGAGGTGCAAGTTAGAGAGAACTTGACCTATGAGAAGAGACCGATAGCTGTGGTTGATCACAAGTTGAAGGAGCTTCGTGGCAAGTCCATTAGCTTGGTGAAGATTCTGTGGGATGCAACTATTGGTGAGGCAACCTGGGAAGTAGAGAGCCAGTTTAAGGAACAGTATCCATTCTTCTTTTCAGGTAAGCCTATTTTCGAGGACGAAAATTCCTATTTGTTGGGGGATATTGTAACGTAGTTAAAAAAAAGTGATTTAGTAGCCCAGAACGGGCCGTTCCCAATTTGGAACGGGCCGTTCCAAGCTATTAAATTGACCTGTAATTTGTAGTTTCGGTACAGGCCGTTCTGACCACTCTGGAATGCCTATAAATAGGGGTGTGGGCCGTGAGGAGAATCAGAGGTTTCTAGAGAGAAGTTTTAGAGAGAAGGTCTCTAGGTCTGTGAGCTCCTTTCTCTCCCAAATTTCTCTGTATGATTCTTTTTCTCCTTTAGACCACTAATGTCTTCTGTCTTTTCTTGAAATTCAGATTAGAAAGCTTGATTTGGGTAGATTGAAGTTCCGGGTTGAGTTACGAAGGAAAATTCTACTTTTGTTCAGTTTTTGGCTATCTGAGCCAATCTTCAGGTAATGGAAGCTAGACTATTTGTTGTTTAGGTTGTATGTGAGTTTTGAAACTCAATTGATGCATGAATGCTGAGAATCCATAGATGGATTGAAGAAAATCTTATTTTTGAGATTTTGAGAAAAAAGGAGGATTTTGATGCATAGGTGGGATGAATGTGAGATTTAAGTTTATTTTGAGTTGTATGGAGCCTATGCATTGTGTTTTGTGTTTGCATGTGGCTGGATGTGTTGGCTTGGATGAGAGTTTTGAAACTCTCTGACTGAGATCAGGCCGGGCGGGGGTTGATCGTGCCAGGCGTGGGAGAGCTTAGAGCTCTTGGGTTGGTGTTAGGCTACGCGCGAGCTGGCTGCGCTGTGCGCGATTATATTTATAAATAATTGATTTAAATTGATGTTTATGTACGTTTAAATTTGAAGTTTTAGATCACGTATGTATGCTTTGTGATGATACGTATGAATGTTTGAATATGATATGACATGTGTATATGTTCATATGAGTATGTTTATTGATCATAATGGTAGGTAGACCATTTATGATGTATGATGCATTATTGCATGTGATGTCTTATGACATGTGTATGATTGTTGATCATGATGGTGGGCAGACCATTATGATGTATGATGCATGATTGCATGTGATGCCTATGGCATGAGTCTAGCCTAGGACTTGAGGAGAGGAAAAATATTT